GAGAGAGAGAGAGAGAGAGAGAGAGAATGAATTAGGAATATATCTAATGCCAGTTCCATATAGATTCCTCCCAGTTCTCAGAATGGCTAAAATTTAAAAAATTGACGATACCAAGTGTTGTGACGATATAGAGATGCCAGAAACTCATACGATGCTGTGGGAGTATAAATTGCTATAACTACTTTGAAAATTTTGTTGCCAGTAAAGTTAAGCATATGCCTATCCTATGACTCAACCATTAAACCCTTAGATATAAATCCAAAAGAAATACATGCACATGTGCGCAAAAGATAGTTATAAGAGTGTTCTGAGTACATTATTCTTAATAGTACAAAACTAGAAGCAACCCAAGTGTTCATTAACAATAGAATGGATAAAGTGTGGTACATATGCATAATGAACATACTATACTGCAATGAAGAAAACTATTTGTGTAACTGCATGGATGAATCTCAAAGATATAACATTTAGCAACAAAAAGAGGACATGCTATATAATCTCATTTACATAAAATTCAAAAACAAGCAACGGTTACTTATGGTGAGAGAAATCTGTGTATTGGTTTCCTTTGGAGAATAAAAGCACAGAGTAGGCCTCTGTAGTGTGGGTAATGTGCAGTATCTTGCTTTGTGTGATAATCAAGCTGTAAACTTAAGATTTATGCCCTATTCAGTGCATATGTTAAATTTAACTTTAATAACTAAAACAAAAGATATGTGATTGCCTAAATCAACCAACCATAAGTTAAAGCCATGAGCCATAAAAATTTCTGGGTTACTTTTAATCTGATCATTGTAATAAAGAGGGAATTATTTCTTTTACATAACCGTTCTGGTAGAGTCACTATACATGAATCTTGAAACTAAGATACAATGACCTCTAATTTCTAAGACTCCAAGCTATCATTTATTTCTCTAAGATAAATGATGAGAACCTCCTCATACTAAGATTCACTCTTACTGCAGACAGCACAATGTTCTTCCTATGCCTGAGAAATTAGTAATAATAATAGCTAATATTTTAGGGACCCTTACTATGCTCCAGAACCATAGTGAGTGCTTGCATGCATTAACATATTTAAGTCTCCCACCAACCATATAAGATAGATATTACTAAGCTACTTTACATATGAGAAAATAAGTTGAGAAAACTTAATATTTCCCAAGGTCATTGTATCAGTCAATATCCTTAGTAACATTTAAAAGAAACCAAAAGTTTGGTTTAAGCAAAAAAGAATGTATTAAAAGGTTACTGTGGAACTCCCAGAATTGCCGGTGTGGCCTAGTGGAGGACTCTTCAATCATGAACAACACCCCGAACCAAGTTAGAGGAAATTAATGCCCAGCACTGGACACTGTGACCCCCCGCCCCTCTGCCATTCTGCCAGCCTTGGAACCCACAAGGATGACTCTAAGTCTCCACTGCACCAGTCACATTAAGAGCACAAGATTCACATCATGAGTCAAAAAAACAATCACAAGTCTAGGAGTGTCGAGCAAAGATTCGAACCCAGTTAGCTTGGCACCAACACCCAGGGGCTCAACTACTATGCTAGACTGAATCCAAATGCATGTTACTTTTAAGGACTGGGTAAAGCAAGCAAGTATTAAAAAGTCCAACAACACTTCATGCCACCATATCATATAGGTCAGAAAGCTTCCATGATTTGTTGCTTGGCTGATTTAGGAAACAATAAAACCAATGTATGCAAATTGGGCTTCTGAAATCACCAGTTGCTTTAATGAAGGCCAGAGAGAGGAGCTGGTATGACAGCTCATCCAGAGCCATCACTGCACCATGTGGGGCCATGTGGCTGCATGCTGACTCAGATTGGTGGTGGAGAAGGAGAGCCAAGTCTGAATCACCAAGACCACATCCCGTCCCTCCCTCATTTTTTTCTTTTTAGAAGCTGCCCATCGGTGTTCTTGAGATCTCCACCCAAAGCATGGGGCTCAGGTATTTGCAGCAAATGTCTACAAACCTAAGAAGACCCATTTTCCAGAACATTTGGCCTTGGTTCTTTTAGTGGCGTCTGTGTGTGAAGTTGACTATGACTAATATGAAACTGACAGTCTGTGCATGGAGACTCTGATCAATTTCAGTCATTTATTTTTCACTGTGTTTTGGTGGGCACAAACTAACATCTAGCAGCACGTAGACTTGCCTTTAACACATTTTTTTAGCTTATTTGAAAAAAAATTTTAATCTAAACACACAGTGTCAGCTAGATAATAACTTGGGGGAAATGAGAATTGTATCACAGACATATATTCATTATAGCCAAAGACTAAGCAGGCATTTCATCCTGCTCTGATTCATCTTAGAAAAAAGTGTGGTAGGCACTTCAAAATCTTTCCTCATTTACTTTCAAATAAAGAGTAAGAAGAAAGATCTTTTTTTTTTATTTTTGGTAAAGGCAGTTTAGTAAAATTAGAATATGTTGGGGCTTTTTTGTTTTGTTTTGTTTGGGGTTTTTATGGTTTCCACTGAAGATAGTAGTGGGAGTTAGGATTACAAAACCTGAGGTGGTCAGTATATGGAGGAATTCGAAAGTTCAGACTAAAGAATCTGAACATTATTCTGTATACAGGGAGTAATTCATAAAGTTTTTTTAAAATCTAATTTATTTTTAATGATTTTTAAGTCTAATACAACAAACAGAAAAGTATGCAAATCATGTGTAAATTTAATTTATAAAATATTAAAGCAAAATTTGTGTAATCACCATACGTGACAAGATGGAGGTGGTAGCTAGTATTATGGTGGTAACCATTTTGCAATTTATAAATGTGTGAAAATTAATAAACAGAAACCTCATTTAAAACAGAATCAAGAAGCTAGAAGAGAAGGTATTCATATACATGTCACTCAATGCACATTACTGACCCCAGCAGGAAGAGACATACCTTGCATCTTCAACTTCCACAGGAAGTGATTCTAAATTAGTCTCAGCAAGAAGAAAAGATTCTTCCTTGTCCAGTAACGTGTCAGCAAATGGGAGACTGCCATAATTTACCAATGAAAAGTCACTATACTTTGAACTTTCAGTTTCCTCCAATGGACTCTTCATTTACAACAGCTCTTCCCAAGCCCATAAGAGTGTTCCTTTCCTTTCTTTCTCTGGTCTTGTAAGTGGTTCACCATTAGACCACACATTCTGAATTGCAATTCTTTCTTTCCCGAATAACATATTTTGCTGGAGAAATATCCAGCTGTCTATTTGTTAAAGATCAACAAATGTATCAAATTAACATGTTGTACACCTTACACAATGTTGTATATCAATTGTACCTCAACAAAGCTAAGAAAAAAAAAGAGAAATATAAGACTTCCAGCACTTCAGAAAGTTCCCTAGTGGCATTTTTTTTTAAAGTATGAGAATAAAGACAAAACATAAGACAAGTATTTTTAGTTTAACATGTCATTACTTTCGAGGTCAAAAAGTCCAAGATAACAGAGTCCTAGGAGTCTCCAGACTTCACCTCCCCAATCTCAACACCCTAACTATTCCACCCAAGGTAGTCACTACCCTAACTTTTGGAATACTCATTATTTCTTTGCTTTTCTTTATGGTTTTACTACCTAGATATGCATCCCTAAATAAGGTAGTTTAGCTTTGCCATTGTTGAACTTTGTTTAAATGGAATCACATTTTTTGCCCAACATATTTTTTGAGACAGTCATGTTGGTGTTTGTAACTAATAATCCATTTACTTTCTTTATTGTAAATATTCCATTGCATGAATATATCACAAATTATTTATCCATGCTATAGTTGTTAGACATTCGAGTTGTTTCCAGCAGGGACTGTTGTCAACAATGGTATGTGTGTGTGTGTGTGCGTGTGTGTGTGTGTGTGCGTGCGTGTGTGTAAGAGGAAAAGAGAGGGAGAGAATTAGATCTATCTAGCAGTAGTTACCACTCTACCCCCACTAGATTGGCTATAATCAGATAATAACGAGTATTGGTAAGGATGTAGAGAAATTGGAAGTCTCATACACTGCTGGCGGCAATGTAAAACAATGCAGTCATTTTGGAAGAGAATGGCAGTTCCTCAAAAAGTTAAACATAGTTACCACACAATCCAACAATTCTACTCCTAGGTATATACTCAAAAGAAGTGAAAACATATGCTTACACAAAAACTTCTATAGGCATGTTTATACCACCACTATTCATAACAGCCAACAAGTAGAAACAACCCAAATGTCCATCAGCTAATGAACTGATATCCATACAATGGAATATAATTCAGCAATAAAAAATAAAGTACTAATGCATGTACAACATAGATGACCTTTGCAAACATGCTAAGTGAAAGAAGCCTGTCACAGAAGATCACATATTGTATGATTACGTTTACATGAAATGTCCAGAATAGGCAAATTTATAGAAACAGAACATAAATTAGTGATTGCCTAGGGCTGGACAGGAAGTAGGGGATAGAAATAGGAAATAACTACTAACGGGTACAAAGATTTTTGAGGAGTGATGAAAATGTTCTGGAGTTAGCAGTGTTGGTTGCACACCTCCTTGAATGTAGTACTGAAAACCACTGAATTGTACACTTAAATAGGTGAAGTATATGGATATGAATTATAGCTCAATAAAGGTTTTTTTTTTTAATAACGCAATAAAATTAAGTTAAAAACTGGATGGTAGAAAGACTGCCCAGCCATAGCCCTACAGTGAGTGGAACAGGATAACTACAAAAGTACACTATTGTTGGATAAATAGAAGCTAGCTAACTCTTACATCCAAGCCTTGATCTAAAACCCAAAGATTTCCAAATTTTTCTCCTACAGCATTATAACCTCAAATTGAATTCGGTATAACACAATTTAGTATAACCAAAGCTTTGGATCATTCTCTGGGAGTTTTGGCAGACTAGAAGACTGAACAAGAGTAAAAGTGTAAAAGTCAGAGATGGGGTCACTTTTAAACAGAGGTGGACAAGCTGAAGGGCAAAAAAGAAGTCTCAGTTTCAGGCTCTGAATTGCAGCTGTATCTGCAAGTCAAACACGGTTTCTATATTCACTACCCATTGAAAAGATTGTTGGTCAATAGTAATGACTGTGTGCTTACTGCATGCCACACACTGCGTGTGCTAGAGGCTGGAGCCATAACAATGAGTAAGGCAAGTTCTCTGCCTCTGAGAAGTTCTTGGCCTGAAGGGAAGCAAATAATTACACTAAAGTAATAGATGAATGCTATGGTGGCAGTCTGGACCAAGGGCTGTGGGGCAGAGAGGAAGGAACAACTTACTTTGTGTGAGTAAAGCTAAGAAAGCTTCCTGCGAAGGTGACCTTCCAAGGAGGTGTCGTGGAGAATAAACAGAAAATGTCTGCAACACACTCGAGGCATTTTTGCCATACATATGTAATTCTTGTTATGTTTTTAAGCCTGTGCTTATAGTCTGCCCTTATCTAAAAACCAAGCAGAAACAAATAAATACCAAAAAGGGCTATAAAGCTATTCAGAGAATAATAGCCATGAGTATATAGTTTGAGACATTTACAGGCATACTTTATCCTTCATTTTTAATAAAAACATAGATAATTAAGAAAATAATCTATTGTCAACCCTAATTTATCTGCTAATAGTTAAGATGTTTCTGTTTTATTTTGCTCTATCAAACATTAGGCCCATTTCTGTATAAAAGACTAGGCTGAATCACAAAATCAATTACCTACAGGGCTAGAAGTGACTCCAATATGTACTCTGTACATCTAGACTTCACGCCTGCCTGGGTTTAATTATTCTTGGTTTAATTTTTTTCTTTTCTAAAATAGTTTAGAAAGATTTTCCATGACTTCCCTTGATAATCTGTCTTTTGTCATCTTTGGTCTTAGATGTCATCTGTTAAGTGGAACAAAGTGGAGTTTTAATGTGCAATTACTCATAAAACAAACTGGCAACCCAGAAGAATACTAGGATGTGATGTCTCAAAAGCTTGAATTCCTCTGAAACAGGAGCTTATCAACAAATGGCCTGTAAACCAGTTTTGGCCCCCAAATATTTTGCTCCATCTCTGAATGAGCTAAGTGCTTTTATCTCAGTATGATTTGTCAAGCAATTACAAAGACACCCTACCATTTGATTTCCAGGCTGACCATCTCCTGCTGTGATAAAATTGAAATTTCTTCTTATCAGTTTAGTGGGAAAGGGGCAAAACCATGATAACAGGAAGAAAACTTTTATTTTAGAAAAAAAAAATAAAGTATACCCTCACAGAAGAGAATTTTCTTCTCTTACACCCTTGGACTTTATTGCTAATGTCCTGGGAACAAACAAGCGCTCTTTCTCACATCCTATGCCTGGTTGCATTTTAAATTAGCCAAGCAGATTTACTACTTATATTTGAGGGTTCCCTGTGTTTTTCTGTAAATAACACTGTTATGTATGTTTTTGTTAAAACTATGTTTGCTGTTCAATAAGTATGATTTTAATTTCAAATCCTCTCTGCTTACTTTCTTAAGATTTAGTTTGTTTTAATTCCTTTAAATTAAATGTTTCAATTTTCCTGTACTCCACTACCCAAGAGAAATGGCTTTGTTATACTAAAAAACAAACAAACAAAAACAAACAAACAAAAAACTACATATAGCTAAAATGCAAGATGGATTTTGAAGGTTCTTGGAAGCATTTCTTCCAATAGAATTTGTCCACGAATGGGAGCAGAACAATTTTAGACTTAAATTAGAACTGAAAGTTTACAGGTCTCCTGCTAGTGACATATCATAATTGTTTCATTGGAGGCCAACTGAGTCATTGGTTTTATGTGAGCAATTTCCTCATGGGCATGAAAGCAGAATGTTATTTCTTCTCAAATGAAAGGTTAATTGCATATGACAACCTAAAAATTGAGCAGAGAATTGGGGTGGAGGCCCAATTAGGGATCAGCAGGCTTGTGCCCCACCCAACACCAGTTCTGTCCCCACCCTCTACCCCCTGCATCAGACACTAGCCAGCTCTAGTCTAACCACTTCCCAGGAGCCATTTGTGCTAAGAATCTTGAAACCAGAGCCTTTCCCAAGAAAATACAGACCAAGAAGTTAGTCCATCCTGGCCAACTCCATCCAGGCCAGAGATAGATTCTTGCGAAGTCCATGGTTCCTTAGAAGTGTGGTCAGTCCATACGTTGGTGACTCCTTTCGAAGAGGGTTCATATTGGCCGCTACTATTTCCAAAGTCTGTGGAAAGTTCAGGAAGTCTTGTGGTGGGACCATACCTGAGAAACAGTCGATCCGGATCAGGCAGACCCTTCCTAAATAGTTTCAGAGCACCTCGATCCATCATTCATTCTTTAGGCAGGTTTACAGGTGGCCAGTCCCACTGTGCAATGGGAAATTGAGCTTTGGCAGATCATGCTGGCTGTAAGGAGCCCAGCAGAAGGCAGGACAACAGAGTGACCTATGGTTAGAGGTCTAGACCCAACTGTAGGATCTTGGGCAAGTGACGTAAGCTCTCTGTGCCTCAATACTTTCATCCATAAAACAGGGATAATAATAGTACTTACCTCATGGGATATTTTGATAAATGAATGAGTTATACATCTAAAAGTACTTAGAATAGTACCTGAAACATGGTAAATGTCACATAAGCATTTGCTATTTAAATACTATTGTTATTTTCGAGCATCGCCAACGGACTGGGTATCTAAAAATCAGTATGCTATAATGAAAAATAAATGATATCGCACTTAAATAGGCTTCTGCTTTGACTGGATTTCCTTAGATATCTGGCATTTTGGGATCGAGGCATATATTTGATTATTGTTCAAAAGCAACTATTTAAACATTTCTCAAACTGATCTTAACAGAAGATTATTCTAGGAGATATAAATTAAGTGTGCCAGAAATTGTTTTCCTGCAACAAACAAATTTGTTTATCCACTAAATAAAATTTAATTGATTCCTTGACTCCAAACTTCTCAATCTTTCATGTATTATGTGCATTATGAAACCCAGG